GCTCGGGCCTATCTTGACGACGAGTCGTTTTAGCGATGTCCACGGCTGGCAAGGACACGCAGCGTGAATTCGCACTCTTGCTTGCGGCAAGGTGCTTCCGGATCCTGTCCTCCAGCTTGTGGGGTACGAACTGCTTGGAGAGGTCGAAGCCTGGAAGACCACGCATGACAGCAGCTCCTCCTTTCTTCTTCCAGACGGCGCTGATATTGCTGTCCGGGTTGCAGTACCACTCGTGGAGCACGGCGTTGTTCGCTACAGATGTCGGGCTGGATCTGGTTGTAGACTTGGCCAGGTTAGTAATCAAGGCCTGGCCGATCTTGTGCGGCTGGATGCCGCTCTTGTTGGTGACGAAGACTGAGCGCTTGCCAGCGATCAGCTGCGGCTTCGCCCCCTTCTTGAGCGTCCTCACGCGTAGCTGCTCCTCCTCCACGATGTTGGCCTCGGGTCCGAGACAGCCGTTGGAGATGGCGCCCTGGCCGTGGCTCAGGGTTACTTACGGGCGTGCCGAAAACGCAGTCCGAGCATAACCTTGGTGGTTGCAGGCCTCGGAGGTCGTCTCGCCACCAGCGATGCAGTCCTGCAGGGGTCGGTCATGCACGTCGTGGGGTAGGTCGTCTGCGGCAGCGTGGCTAGCGCGAGGTTCGGAGCTGGAGCTGCGGTGGATCAGCAGACCAGGGCTGAAGCTACGGCCGAGAGTAGCCGCGACCCCTTCGGTCGCCGAGTCTGGAGACGTCTCGGTACGTTCAGCTCCTTCTTCGTGACGAGGTTGTTGATGGTGTCGATCAGCGCGCTGGTCCTGGTAGTTTTGTTGACCGTGGGCTGGTCGCCCGTCCTCGCCTTCCGATCCCGTCGGTCGAGCCTCTTCTCGACCTCTACGTATAGGGTCTTGTCCAGCTGTCGCTTCCTCCCGGACGAGCTGGCCGCGCTGGGCGGTTGCTCCATGCCGGTGCCCTTGATGGCCTGCCAGTCCTCTGGCTGCAACTTGATTGCGGGGTGGCCCGCGGCGCTCGTGGTGAGCTTTTGGGTGCCGCTCCCGATGCGGATCTGGCCCTTCCAGAGAGAAATGTCGATCTTGGAAGGCTGGATGAAGTCGCGGCCGATGAGCAAGCCCAGCGCGGGGCTGTCCACGACTCTGAACACGATGCGGCCAGCCTGGCCGCACAGCACAAGCGGCGCGGTGACGCGCAGCTTGCTTGGGGGAGTGCCTCCGTTGCCGAACCTGTAGACCTCGTCCTCCGGCTCCTCGAGGGTCTGGTTGGCAAGCTTCATCTTCGTGAGGATGTCCTCGTAGTTGTCGTGCCACTTCTTGCCCGAGACGCAGAAAAGGCAGGCGGCGTCGACCACGCCGACGCCTTCGTCCACGGGCTTGTCACTGCCGATCGCGACGTTCACGTTCGGCAGGTGGTGGATGAGCCGCTCCGAGACGCAAGTTTCTGAGGGCGGCGTGACTGGCCCCTGCGGGTGCAGGGCGATCTTCTCGTCCGCGAACTGGACCTGCTCGGTGATGTGCGCCTGGCTCTGAGGACGGCCTCCACGACCTCCTCGCCCACCGCCCTCTGACTTGCCGTCCTTGGGCGCGAACCTGCGAGCACCTGGCGCGGGGCGTTCCTTATCCCCTGTCCAGTGTCCGGTCTCGCCGCAGTCCCAGTAAGGAGTGTTCTTCTTTCGCCGGTCGACCCGGCTCGGTAGTGTGGTCGGGCGGCGGGGCGGTGCGGATTCCGACTTGCCGCGGCCCTCGAGGGCCCCCCGGGCCGATCTGATGGTGGCCATGGCCTCGGGAATGGCGGCAAGTTCCGCTGCGGCAGCTTCGACCGCGGCAGTGTCGTCGCCGTCGAACAGTTCGGAGATGTCCACGTTGGAGGACTCGGGCTCGGCGCTGAAAGCCTCGAGCTCCTGGCGAACGATGTCCTGGGCGTCGGCCTCGTCCTCGTCGCCCTCCTCTTGCTTTTCGTCGTTCTCGTCGTCTGGCTCGTCGACGACGTTGGTAGGGCGCCCCCCGCGGCTGGAGGAAACGTTGCTGCTGCGCCAGCCGCCTTGTGAGCGCGACTGGTTGGTCCATGGCCTTAGCGGAGGAGCGCGGCGCTCCGACGCATGTGTGTCTGGGAGCATCCTGACCAGCAGCCCGCGGATGCGCTGGTAGCCGCAGTGCTCGTCGGGCAGGTTGCCCACGACGTGCTCGCGGCGCTCTGCCGCGAGCCCAGCCTAGCGCAGCAGGAACCATCCCGCCACGTCGCCCAGCACGCTGAGGTCCACCTCTTTCTCGCGTAGCTGCTGCAGTCCAGTCTCGAAGCGGATGAACCAGTCCGTCATGCGTTCACCTCGTCGTCGGCGATGTTGAGTCGACTTGAACACCTTTTCAAGGGTCTCGCCCTTTTGCACGGGCTTCTGCTGACCCAAACTGGCCCCCAAGGGCTGTAGCGCATTTTCGATGCCGACCTAGTACCTATTACGCTTCCTCTCGTCGGGGTCTCCGATGCCCGCCGCGGCTGCTGGATGCAGCTGCGCCTCCGTCGCATTTAATGCTGCACCCCGGGCTGCCCAGCTGAGCTTCAGCATGAGCTTCGATGCGAGACTGTGCGCCACGGCGAGGTTCTCACTGAGCTTCCAGAGCTTAACCTCCTGCTTGTAATCTCTCCACTTTGCCGGATCGCCATTCCAAGTAGGGATGGCGCTGCATGCGTAGTTGTCTGTCATTCCGTTAAAAATGAAATAGTGAGCCGCGTCGCTGACACTGGCGTCGAAAGAGAAGTAGCTGGCGTCGCTGACACCGTTGTCGGAGAAGTAGCTGGCGTCGCTGACACGGTTGTCGGAGAAGTAGGCGTTGATGCTGGCGTTCCTGACGCTGGCGTTGTAGAAGTAAGCGTTGATGCTGGCGTGGCTGACTCTGGCGTTGGAGAGGTAGGCGCTGATGCTTGCGTCGCTGGCGCTGGCCCAGGATAAGGAGGCGTTGATGCTTACGTCGCTGACGCTGGCGTAGGAGAAGTAGGCGTTGCTTGCGTCGCTGACGCTGGCGTAGGAGAAGTAGGCGTTGCTTGCGTCGCTGACGCTGTTGTAGCAGAAGGAGGCGAAGTAGTCGTTGATGACGGCGTCGCTGACGCTGTCGTGAGAGAAATATGCGTTGATGTCGGTGTCGCTGACGCTGACGTAAGGGAAGTAGGCGTTGGAGGCGTAGGTGCTGGCGTCGCTGACGCTGGCGTAGGAGTTGGCAGGGTAGGCGTAGATGTTGGCGTCGCTGACGCTGACGTGGAAAGAGTAGGCGTTGGCGCTAGCGTCGCTGACGCTGGCGTACACCAGGCTGGTGGCGCTGAGCAACAGCGCAAGGAAGCCGCTGGGCTTCGATTCGGGCAGACGTGTCGCAGACGCCGTCTTGCAATAGGCACGGCCGCTGACCGGGATAGCAGAACGGCCTCGCTTCAAGATGCCGCTGTGATATGGATGCGCGCGCGGCGCGGATCCCTGGGCGAAAGCGAGCGCGGCTCGAGCGATCTGCGTAGTTCTAAGGCCAGGGGCCTTAATTCGAATAGAAACAAAAAACGGCGGCGGGAGCAAGGAATGAAACCGCAGGGCCCTCGAGCCTTCTGGGGGAAACCCTCTCGGGCCTCTTACAGTCCTGGGGAGCGAGCTTGATTCACAATCGGAACACCCGACGCAGGAGCTTTGGGTACAAGTGTTGATGCTAGGTGCTACGAGTTTCGGACACCCTCGCAGATGCGGTGTTCCGGGCGATGATGTGATTCTGCGTGCGCCTTCGTCTGTCGAGTGGCAGCGGTGAGCACAGGATAGCGAGCATGATTTTCGTCGTGCATGCGGGTCTGAGGCTTCCCGTGCCCAGTGGAATATTTGAGTCATGCATATGTCTCGCGAGGAGTGGATGCGGCAAGATTCGGAAGCTTGGGTCGGGCACTCCGCTGGTGGCGCGCTCTGTGGAGTCATTGCGTCGTTGCCCGTGTTCCAAAGGTCCCGTTCCTGTGTCGTTCGCGTCCTGACAACGGCCCATTTCATGTGGTGGAGGCCCAATGCGGGTGCCAAAGAAAAGAGGGGTGTCTTTAGCCATGAAAGGTGTTATTCGGTGAGGGGTCTCTCCGCTCTCCGGATTTCACTCAGTGCCAGTTTGCCTCCTTTGCCCCAGGGGCCCAAGTAATGGAGCGCGAACGGCTGTTTCTCCTGTCGTGCGACAGGTCTTGCGTCAACAAAGGGCGATCAAGGCGACGACTTTCGGCTCCTTTTCTTTCGGGATCTTTTCTCGTCGTTCCGCTTCGCAGTCTACAGTCAAGGCGCTGAAATGAGGAGCAGTTTGGGTTCGGAAGGGGCTCGATGTTCCTTAGGTTCCTCCAGTGCTGTTCCTCTTTCCCTCCTGGGGCACGGGGGGGCTTACAGGGCCAAGAAGGGGCGTCGTTCTTCATTTCGCGTTTTTTTTTTTTCTCCAGCGGCCCGACTGTACCCTTGTTCACGAGTGCGCGCGCCAGTGCTGCACCTCGGAGACCGATGCTGGCTGTGAGGGGAGCAGTGGAGGTCCCGAGGGTGCTTCGGCCTGCTGGAGGCCGACCGTTGCCGCGTTCCCACTGTTTTGGTCGCTCGGGTGTCTGCCGGCCTGGGCCCCTGATCTTGGCATCGCTCGGACGTATGCATTTTCTTTCTCGGCGAAGAAACCACGCACGAAACCAAACAAACACAGGGAATGGACGTCCGAGCGATGGCCCCTGATGTCTAAGTGCACGCCTCTGGTCTGGACCCCTGATGTCGGCTGGCCACCTGCTCTTTTTCTCCGTCGCTCTGGCTTATCAAAATCTCCGCGTTGACAGGCTGCCTTTTGGTTCTTCCGATTCAGATAGGGGGGGAGCGGGGCGGAGGAGAAGGAACGGAAGGAGGACGAGGAGGAGAGAGGGAGGCGGAGGAGGAGGCGGAGGAGGACGACGACGACGACGATGCGGGGTCCGCCGCCCCCGATGGCGGGCCGCAAGGGCCCGCCGCCGAGGTCCCCCTCCCCCCCCCGCCGGCAGGAGCTGGCCGCCGTGGCCGCCGAGCTGCAGGAGAACTGCGTGGCCCAGGCGGCGGCCGTCGCCGCTCCCTTTTCGCCACCGCGCGGCCCCCTGTCCAGAGCCCCGCGGCGCCCCTCCTCGTGGTGTCCCTCCTCATGGCGCCCTTCCCCGTGGGGCCCCTCGTCGTGGCATGCCTCCTCGTGCACCCCCCCTGTCTTGGAGAGACGCCTCCTTCTCGTCCTCGTGTGTTTTTGTATCGCGCCACCGGGCGTGTCAGTCGGGAGCAGCCGGGGCAGCTCGCCGGGTGCATCCTTGCAGCGTGTGTTATGAAGTTTGGACGTTCCTGCATCTGCTTCGGTGTACAGTCAACCCGCATAATAAGGGTGGGCAACCTTCCCAAGGGTACCCTTGCATCCTTGCCAAGGATGGGCCAAAAGTTTTGGCCCATCCTTGGCCACTTTCGCTGGCCGCGCCCCCCTCGAAGAGCATCGAAATGGCCTTCCAAGGCCCTTGCATCCTTATCCGACGTCCTTCTTATACGGGTTGCCTGTAGGGCGGGCCGCGTCCGATATGTGGCATTCGTCTCGGCGCCGACGGTTCAGCGGATGGACTCGGCATCGCTCGGACGTGTGCATTTATTTTTCTCGGCGAGGACCTTCGAGGAGCATCCTCGACCATCTGGCGAAAAAAACACGCACGAGACCGAAAACAAAAACAGGGAATGGACGTCCGAGCGATGGCCAGGATATGATGCAGTTATCAAGATGTGGTTCTTGCTTGGCTGCCCCACGTAGTCTTACCTGAATGCTCGCAGCGCCTGCGCCGATTGAGGGCGACTCGTTCACAGCGTCACGGGTGCAGGGCGGCGTGATTATCTTAAATATTCGCCTTGCTTCTGGCGCAGTCGCAGACGCACGCAGCTTCTGGGCCTTAAGCCTGCCCCGCTTGCCCCCGGCCCCCCGCTCCCCCTCCGCGCGCGTGCGCGGCCGGGGCGCCAGGGGCTTGCGCTGTCGGGTTGTCTACCCTTCGCGGTGTCAAGATCGGTCGGGGCTGCCCTTGTGCCCCGTCCGTCCTGAGCCAGCGTTGGGGCCGACCGTCCGCCGCATCAGGCGGCGGCCTTCGGGCAGGAGGGCCTCGCAGCCCCTTGCGTGTCGTGGCCGCGGTCCCTGGTCGCCCCGTCTTCTGCTCGCGTTTTGGCGGGCGGGGCAGGCAGGGGCCTGCGCCACGTCCTGCTGCGCGTAGGTCAGAGTGAGGCGGCCGAACGGTCAGTCATTGTCCCTGGGCGCGTGGCTGGATAAGGAGTTCGTGGTGAGAATTCTGCTTGTTGCGTTGTTGTCGTTGTGATTGTTGTTGTTGTGGTTGTTGTTGTTGAGGATGTTGTTGTTGTTGTTGTTGTTGTTGTCATTGTTGTTGTTGGTGTTGTTGTTGCTGTTGTTGCTGTTGTTGTTGTTGCTGTTGTTGCTGGTGTTGTTGTTGGTGATAGTGTTATGATTGTTGTTGTTGTTGCTGTTGCTGCTGCTGCTGCTGCTGATGTTGTTGTTGTTGTTGTTGTTGTTGTTGTTGTTGTTGTTGTTGTTGTTGTTGTTGTTGTTGTTGTTGTTGAGTTTTCATTTCTGAAGAATACTTATTGTTGATCCCCCCACTGGTGCATACTGTTTTTTTCTCAATCCGAGTGTGCCCCTCGACGCTCGCACCCTGTTTATTGATAGGGAAAGTCTTCCTGCTCAAACTGGGCCCCTGACTCCCGGGTTACAACAACAACGGCTCCCGCCTGAGACTTCCTTACAATTTTGCCAGGACCCCCGCTCCCGCCCGAGACTTCCTCGCATTCTATTCAGGAATCGCGCTCTCGCTGGGGACTTCCTTACAATTTATTCAGGAATCGCTCTCCCAGCGCTCTGGAGTCGCGCTCTCGCTGGAGACTTGTGTCAACTTACTGAAGAATGGCCTTGCGCTTTTTCTTGCAATTTGCGGGAATGGCAATTGCGTTTTTTCTAGCCAGTCGGGCAGGGGGTGGGGGCGCGGCACTGGTCTCCCCCCCGAGCGGGCCCCGACGGCCCCCTCCCAGAGGAGGAGGACGAGGAGGACGAGGACGAGGAGGAGGACGAGGAGGAGGACGAGGAAGAGGAGGAGGAGGAGGAGGCGACAGGTCGCCAACCCAGCGTCGACGCTGGTGGCTGTCTGGGGAACGAGGCTCCCCGCTCGGCCCTCGCGGGCAAGAGTGCCGCACCTTCCTCCCCGAAGCTTCGACGCGTTCGTTAAGTCCGCCCTCGTCGTGGAGGACGGCAGGGTCGTCGGACAGTCGCTGGTGGCCGCCGTGCCGCTGATGCTCCAGCCCATGCTGGTGCACCCACCTTGCCTACGGAGGCCTTCCTCTTATGTGGCTTCAGCGGCCGCTCTGGGGGCCTCTGGCCCGGAGGGCCGCCGCTCGCACTCTAACTGGGGAGCGCGCGAGAGTGGCAAGAGTGCCGCATTCTGACAGCGCGTCGCTTGGCCCGGTGCCTTATGCGGCTGGAGCTCTGCGCTCCCGACGCGAGCCTCCGCCAGACCCCTCGGTTTCGTCCGATGCTGTGGTTGCCCCGTCGCCTGGCATGGCGCGTTCCAGCGATGCAGTGGCTGCGTCGCCTGCCGTTGAGGCTCCCCAGTCACCCCCTGCCTTTGGCAAAGTGCTGTCCAGCGATGCTGTTGCGGCCCCGCGGGGATTTGCGCGTGCTGCGGCAGGGTACGTCGACCCTGAGCCTCCTCGCCAGCGGCCGCGGCGTGATCCCTCGGCCGCCGCCCGCCGTCTCTGGGCCGAGCGAGGCATGCGCAGGCAGGCATGCGCATCTGCCGCGCGGCTCTCTGCGCTGCAGGGCCTCTCGCTGGCCCCACAGGGGCCTCGTCTTATGATGTTCCAACCTACTTGGGCCTCGATCGCCAGAAAGGATTTCGAGCACCAAAGAGAAAGTAACGAAACTCGCGAGCTTTCACGCGTCGGGCCCTGGGAGACACTCGTCCGACACAGTTTCGACACTCTTTCGACACCTCTCCAGGTGCTCGAAATTATTTCTGGGATGTGGTCCTCAAGCACGATGGGAGTAACGTAAGCCTCATCCACTGCTTCGGGCCATGTTGGCCCCCGCGCGGGCTTCGAGGCACGCCCTTCGCCCGACGTTTCGTGCCCTCCTCCCGGCACGCCGCGCGCCCGTGCTGGCACCGGCAAGTCTGCGCCCGTTGTGGCCGCTTCTGCCCGCCCTTGTTGCGCCTGTGCCCAAGCGCCAGCATCGACGTCACCCACTGGGCCTGTGGGAGTCGATGAATGGAGAGGAAGCATGCTGCCAGATAGTTTCCAGATGGCGAAAAGATGTTTCACACATGTTGTAAATGTGTTGAACACATGTTTGAAACATGTTTAGAACATGTGTGGCACAGTCTGAACACATGTTGAACTCAATGATAGAACTGTTAGAGTGTCCATTGTCATGGCATCCACAACACCGGGCCGCTGCTCTTGCCCAGGTTGGGAGGGAGGCTCGATTCTCCCTTGCCGCGTTTGCCCGCACATCCCTCTGCGCGCCGCATGGGGACGGCCCGCACCTGTCGGGGTCAGCTCCCCGCGATCCTTGACTTTAAGGGTAGCTCTTTGGGAGATGTTATAGTATCGGGAGCATAGCTCGCGCGCCGTTGCCTTTGGCTCAAGGCACGCGCGCCCTATTTGCCCGGACACCGCGAGTGTTCGCTATGTGCTGGAAAGGCCGATACATCGATCTTATCCTATCTTATCCGTCCATTCCTCTTACTGAACAACGTCAGTACGATACCGGACGCTATTTGCCATCCGATGTCTACGGAATCGGATGCTATTTGAGTTACCAGGCTCGCTTTCGACTTGGTAGCGGAGCTGGCCGCACTCTCGTGTGGTCAGCTCTTGTTCTTCTTAGCCTCATACTCTTCGGCACGATCTTCGTGACCACCTACCACCCTGCGCTACCACTCCCAGTACGTTTACGAGGATCTATCCAAGAGCAAGAAGCGACACGAGAGGTACGACGTCTAGACAACGACATTGGTACCATATACGCTTCATCATTGCGCTACCACCAACCGCTCGGCAACGAGCCAAAAGCGCAATACTTGAAGCATGGGCGGAGAGATCCGCCAGATAAAGCGCCTCGAAGACTCGACGAGGCGCTACCCCAGCGCGGCAACGCGCCTAATAACCGCCCTTACCTACACAGCCTAGGGCTGGTTATCTTCGCTATCATATGGTTCGCGCTGGGGGCAGCAATCGGACACATGCGTCGTGGAGACAACAGCACCGATGGGCAAACACATGGCCCATATTGGGACCCTCAAGGCAACGTACCTTTCCGCGAGTACGTTTATGAGGTCAACGCATGGCTCAACGTCACAAGCGGACGTATGACGCCACAGGCCCAAGCGGCCGCCATACAACGCGGCCTAGGTGGCCTAGCGAGGACACTCGCCATGAGGGTGCCGCCTGACATCATAAATTATGGCGCTGACATCGATGGGGCCCACACCGACCCAGTGACCTACATCATGTTCCTCTTAAGCATGAAGTTCGAGCGCCTGGAAGATGAGCGCCAGCTCACTTCCGGCACACAACTCATCGACTTCCACGTGCCTCACGGGGAACGAATCGACGTCACCCTTACCCGATTCGAAATGGCCCGACTTGAGGCACAGTCGGTGGGATTTGACTCTCCCAACTTCCAACTACTAACCACGATCTTGTTCCGCGCCGTAGGCGTCGGCAACCAGCGAGCCATGCAACTCTCACAGCCACTCAATCACCAAATGCCCCGAACACAACAACAGCATGATGAGTTGCTGGAGAGGATGCGTTCGATAGGCCACCTATCTGAACGGTCTCCTGGTAATATAGGATCTGTGTTTGGAAGGGGAAGGGGATCTGGTAGTGGAAATTTCTACACTACCTTGACTACTGAAGCCCAGCCTGGGAACGGGCCCTCAAGCATATGGGCCGATGATCCTGGAGAATCCACTGCTCTACTAGCAGGAGATCGATCACAACCAAGCTGGGCAACCAGCCCTCCTTCTAGAGA